CTATGAGAGTGTTGCTGTTGGAGCAGCGTATGAATCGGCCCCTGTAGCTTTTCCTTGCTTATTCTCGTGGGGTGAGGAGGAGATTAGTGAGAGAGAAAAGCAAGAGAAGGAACTTGGTGGTTATGGCTCGGGGGAGGTACATTCCAATTGTCTGATTTCTTAAACAAACACGTTCTCCTATTATTCCACTTTATTCTCTCATGCAGGTAGTCTGCAAGGAGAGAGGACTTGGGATGGGGTCATTTGGATACAAAGCCCAAACTGATTGTATGCCATTGAGAGCAGTGGAACAAGTACAAGAGCTTTCTCATGCACAGGTATAGCCGTATTGGCGGGGATATGGTTGAGTAATTTGTTGTTCTCTTGTTTAAGTAACCAGTTAGGCTTATAGTCTTAAGTCCTGGGAAATTCCTGGTATGAGGTCGTGTCTTGATAGATTCATTTATATGGTAGCTTGCATATATAGGAACTTCATAAGTAACATCTTGTATTCCCGGCCTTTAGTTTTGACTAAGTATGATGCTTAGATTTGTTTGAAATCTCTAGTTCGGCTGATAGCTGCCTAGGTTTGGCAGCCTTATTTCTCAATGACTGTTGGCCTATTCATACAGTTTTAACAATGGAAATAACAGCTAAATACTAAGTCTCTCATCTTCTTAACAATTAACAAATCAAATTAATAACTCTGCGGAAAATCTATGACAGGAGAAAAGAAAGTACGTTAAGAAATAAGATCAACGTAAAGCTGATAGACAAAGAGAAGGTTATCAAAAGAATGCAAGGCTTATGCTTACATCAGCGTTCCCACAAAAGCTTTTTCCTTTCTTCCTTATTTTTGGGGGGGTTGGATGAAGGGAGGTGGGTATACCTTGGGCCTCAACTCCAGGTTGCCATGATGTGGCTTCTTTCCACCCTAATATTTTTTTATCTACTTGGCAGGACATGGAAGATCAAGAAGATGAGGATACCTTCATAGAACAGGTGATCTGCCGTCTAATTCTTGTTTCTACTAATTAAAACATTTTTTTATGAAACCTACTAATTAAAACATTTTACTCTAAACTGAGACCAAGAATGAGCATGTTTACTATTATTGTATTGGCACAGGACTTATTTCGATAACCCCGAGGCAATGATAATCTAAGTTGCTCCGACACGTTTAGGTGTCGCACCGTGTTGACACAACACTAGTATTGGTGTGGGTATGGGATCCGTACCGGATCTGGTCAAACAATTTTGGGTACTTTGACCACGACAGACTTCAAAATTCGAGACGAGATACAATTTGATTTCCGAAATTAGAATCAAAACTAGGGTAAATTTGAAGAGAAAAACATACCTTATCTAGGAAATCAATCATTTACTTATCTTCAACTTGAGAATAAAAAAGAAATCCACACTTTACAAGTTATACCTAAGTATTCCACAAATTTTTTCATAATTTAGAAATATTTTTATATTTTTATTTTTTTTGAATTATTAATTGCCGGATCCCCGCACGCGTATCCGTACTAGGATCCGTATCTCAGCATCTTAGAATTTACATTTCGAAGGATCTGACCTCTAGATCTGCACCAGTGTCGGACACCCGCACCCATGTCCGAGCAACTTAGATGATAATGAGTTGTCGTTAGATATTTAGTTGGTGTCTTGCTTAACGCAAAGATTGAATGACTAATGAGAGTAATGATGAATAGGAGATCCAAAACCAACAAATAATTATGCTATACCCACATACATGTGGATTTCATCTTGGCAGCAATAAACTAATTGCTGCTGTATGTGGTATATTTCCAGAATGCTTTTATTGAATGTGGAAGTGCAAAAGTTATCTTTTCTGCTACTATATTTCATGGTTAGATTAAGATGGTTTGACGTTGTATTATCTTTTTCGATAAGAACTTCAATGTTGTAATATCATGTTTCAAATTTCACAGCCCTTTATAGATCTAGATATATAAAGTTTTCAGCCCCCAGGGTTTTGATCTAGTGGTAAAAGCTCAACACATGATGTGTGGGTTAGACGCACGTCACGAGTTCGAACTTTGCCGAAGACAAAAGCCTGCAATTTAAGTGGGTAAGGATAAAGGGGATCCACCGAGAAATCCCTGAGGGACGACAAAATCATGGAATGTAAGTGGAGTAGGGTAGAGGGGTGGTCCCATCATCCACCTTGTTTCGAATCGTGCCCCGTTGGCTGGGATTTCTCGGTTTATGAATTTCTTTTTTCTTCATAGCCCTGATCATAAATGGTGGTGTTATGTTTTTATATGCTTATATTTCCGGGAACTGGTAACTGAGTTAGGGTAAATTTACTTTTGAGGATCTCTGAGCCTAAGAGGCTTTCACAGTCATCTCTCTTTCTCTCTCTCTCTCTCTCTCTCACATTAAAATCAGTTTGCATGGTATAAGTTATTTGAAATATTCTCTTGACATTGTTGATCAAAATGGATTTGCCGATCTTCTTCAGGAACATGCGTGCACACATATCATCCAACGGAATGACGTCTGTGCGGAGGTTAATGTAGTTGCTGATTCAGGCCCAGTACCTTGTGGAAACATGAACTATGGATGCACAGAAACTGTTGACTACACAAATAAAAGAGATCATGAGGAGGCCTGCCCCTATGCACCATGCCCGTGCCCTCTCCAGAACTGCAATGTTGTTGATTCCCCCAATCTACTCTCAATACATTTCACCAGTAAGCACTGGGATTCTGGGAGACGCTTCAAGTATGATTGCCCATTGCGTGTCTCGTTGAGCAAGAAAGAAACTTTCCTTGTTTTACAAGCAGCAAAAGATGGGGTCCTCTTTCTTCTTACCAAGGGAACACAAAGTATAGGGCATACGATTGTGATTACTTGTATTGGTCCAAGCTCATCAAAGGAATGCTTCTTGTATGATGTTGTATCAGAAAGAGGAAGCAGCTCTCTGAGATTGAAATCATTCGCTTGTAGTCTTCCAGGTAGGATTGAAGGTTTACCTCCAATGGATTTCCTTCTGATCCCTTTTGCTCATCTGGGCTCATCTGGGCAGCTAGATTTAGAAGTTTGTATATGGAGCTCGACAGAGCCTGGATCAGAGTGAGCTCGTTAGATGTAATATAGCAGCTTTATTTGTATAATTGTATTTGTCAGAATGTAAGAAAATGTGATTAGCCAGCAATTCAGCATGTTTGGGAATACAGCTCTCAATAGAGACTTACTGCTCAGGGCAAGAGCGTGTTTATTTATAACCGGAAGAAAGGATAAGCTGCAGGAAAATTGTAGATCATATTTTGTCCATATAGTAGCTGCTATGGTGCTTATGCTTTCCTGAGCCGAGGGTCTTTGGAAACCTCTCTATTCTCACAAGGTAGGGGTAAGGTCTGCGTACACAGTGTAGGATAATACTGAGTATGTTGTTGTATAGTAGCTGCTACGGAGGGGGCAACCTTGTTAGTGTACTGCAACTTGGGAGTAGGGAGTTCTAATTTGTAATTGAGTGTCTTGGCCTTTGGTGTTTGTCTCTAATCTCAAAGCAAGGCGTTGCAAAAAACAATTGGATGTTTTCCTGTATAACACTGAGCAGTACAATAGCAAGGTTGAAATTAGAATTAGGCACCTTTCCTGTTCCCTGTAAATACGGTTATCTATCTGATCTTAATAATTTTTTGAAGTTTAGTTAAGACATTAAACATAACATGGAATAGAAAGATAAAGGAAATCAATTGTAATTACTTCTCACAAACAAAGAAAATAAATAAAGCAAAATAAGAGAAATAAGGAATTATTACAGATCACGGAGACGGCAATTTACACTCTCCGGGGAGAATTAATAAATAACAGGAAAAGAGCACATTCTCATACACTAACTTTGGGTTAAAGTACACAAATAGTCTTCAAAGTAGATAATCTTGGATTTTTGTTCCCGATTACCTTAGGGGCAGAACTTCAAATTTGAGAAGTGGTAGGAGTGTCAATGGTTCGGTTCGGTCGGTTATTTTATAAAATTTATACCATATAATTTTTCGGTTACTTTATTCTGTATAACTATATTTTTTCAAAACCATCCCAGTCATTTCGGTTTCTCTTCTGTATCGGTACAGTTCAACATTTTTTTTGTTAAAAGCGTCATGTAAGAGTCACTAGTAAAAGTTAGACGCAATAAAATACATACTTTGCATGGCAGAACTCTCTAGACATTTACTGTTTAAAAGGTGATGAATCAAGTAAATTTGAAAGATGGCCAAAAAAAAATATGAATCCATCCCACTATTCAACAACTTAAAACAAAATAAGCAAAGACAAGAACATTATAAGTTAAACGAGTGATAAGATATTAATCAAGCTCGAACTCGAAGATAGAGTCTATTAGAAGATTAAGTATCTAACAAGAAAAACTAAATCATATAAGAGAAAACATATCTAATACCATGGGCTTGCTACTCAAGATTGCCGAAATACTTTGTGGCTTACTCTCAAGATGTTGGAACTAATTTATTAGTTTCAATAGGAATTACAAAATAGGCTTGGAAGTTTGGACTTTAGGTGTTAATTACCTATTGGCTTGTAGCCATTGCCATAATCCCAAGGTCGAAGGAAAATAATTTAATACTTTGTTATTTTTGAACTTAAATATAAAATAAATTTTCATATATAAATTTATTTGGTACGACTCGGTAATTTTTGTTTACTTTAATAAAATTTAAAACTTACCTAATTATTTGGTACTGTTATAAATTTTTATAAAAAAACCTACGAATTTGTCAAAGGAAACCTAATAATCAGTATGGTATGGTTCGATTCGGTCGGTTTAATCGATTTTTAAAGATCCATTGACATTGTTTGACCCAAAATTTAGATCTAGGTTTAGACAATTAGATTTAATAAAATGTAGTCAATCTTAGCCAATATTAATGTCCAAAAGATATATTAACTGATTTTGTAGTAAGATAATACGTATGTTATCTAAATAGCAATAAATGTTGATAACACTAGCAATAGGGGTATTCATGGTTCGATTTGGGTCGATTTTTTCCTAAAAAGAAACCAAACCAAGTAAGTCGATTTTTTACATATTGGGACCAAACCAAACCAATTAAGTCGGTTTTTTATCAATTCGGTTTTTGTCGGTTTTTCGGTTTTTTCGGTTTTTTGTCGGTTTTTTCTTAAATATGAGACATACACTACCAAACGCATATTCCGGCGAGTACATTTTCAGCGTAACGCTATCAAACCATTTTCTCTTTGAGAAATCTATCATTTACCAAGATATATTGATGATAATTGACTCAAATAGTGATGAATAACTTAAGTACTCAATTAAAAATTAATTATTTTTAACATGAAATAAATTCTTGTACTTAATAAAAGAAAACTACCAATCAAACTAGAAGG